CTACAGTTCCAGGGGAATCCAAAGCCCTCTTCTGACCTCCATGGCATTGTACGACACTGGTGCACCCACATACATGCAGGCAATACACTCATACACATAAAATAAAAATAATAAATATTTTTTAAAAAAAGATAGAAACAGAGGGAGAACTCCCAAAGACTTTCTATGAAGCCATACCAAAACCAGGTAAAGACACAACCAGAAAAGAAATCTTTAGACCCATATACTTAATGAACATGGATGCAAAAATTCTCAACAAAATACTTGCAAACTGCATACAGACATACATCATCTACCATGATCAAGTCAGTTTTATTCCAGAGATGCAAGGATGGCTCAATATATTTGTCAATAAATGTCACAAATCATATATATGGACTCAAAGATAAAAATCACACTGTTATGTTAACAAATGCAAAAAAGGCCTTTGACAAAATCCAACATACATTTATATTAAAAGTCCTAGAGGGAACTGGACTATGGGGAACATACCTTAACATAATTAAAGCTATATATAACAAACCCACAGCCAACATCATTCTAAATGGAGAAAAACTAATGCATCTCTCAACTTTCATCACTTGATGGTCCAACCCAGCTTCAAGGCCTAATGATTACAATAATGACCAGCACAGCAAACTACAGTGGGGCAGCAGTGGCACTTTTATCTTGTGGGTAATCAACAGTTACCTAATTGGACTTAAATCCTGCTCAATGGGAGGGAACTCATGTGTGGTACTGTAAACATAGCCAAATACACATGGCTAGAGAGGTCATGGATCCAAGAGAAAACTCTAAGGTTGTCATATCCCTAGGCAAAAGGTTGTCATATCCCTAGGCAAATATAATTTCTTACTATATGATAAATATGAATCCTTATATTTACAGACAGGTGTGCCAGTTACCACACATCAAAGAGGCTTCATTTGCAACAATGGAGACTATTAGAGTTCCACAGCTGGTCACACACAGAGAATAAGTGTCTGTGAAATGTTCAACCCTAAGTGACAGATCTATAACCTAAGGCTCATGGAACACAGTAGAACAAGGAGTAGAGAATATAATGCATCTCTTAACTTTTATCAATGAAATTTCCTCATGCAACAGAGGGCAATGAACACAAAAGGCCGCAAATGGTCAAAGCATAGAAAATAAGGAGTCTGCAGGGTGTGGGCCCTTGAATAGGACTCCTATATTAAAACTAATCCACCTCGGGCTCAAGGACCATTGCAGAAGAGGGGGTGGAAAGATTGTAAGAGCCAGGGGAGGAGGTGCATGACCATATGGAAACAGTGTCTTAAGAGTACTAGGACCTTGTTCATATGAACCTACAGCAATGGTGTCAGTACCCACAAGACCCATGCAAACTCAAGCAGACAAAAACCCAGCACAGAACTGGGGAAATGGGCAGCAGACCCCAATCTTAGCCAAAGAACTATTGGCAGCTGATTATTGCTGGGTGAAGGAGAGCTGATTTTCTTAAAGGGAATGACTAGATAGGCTGACCAGACCCCAGTGGATGAACTTGAACAAAATGCATGAAATTCAATGGCGGGGAGGGGGCGGCTATGACAAGGTGTGGATAGGGGAAGGGGTATCAAGATGGGTAAGAAATACACAAAAGTTCAATAAAAATATACAATTAAAAAAAGGAGTGAGAGAGAGAAAGGGGAAGGGAAGGAAAGCAGAGGAGAGAAGGAAGAGGAGGAAGGAAAGCAGAACATTAATAAAAGAGGCCTAAGGTTCATCTCATTCTGACAGGCTCCAGTGCAGTGCACTGGTAGAGGTAGCAGGTGTGGAACTCTTCTGACAGTCACATAGCTACTTGTCTAGCTCAAAATCTGATGTTTTGGAATGAAAGTATTAAATCTAAAACCTAACCTAGTCTAGATTCTGATTAAGTAAGGTCTGGCAGGAGATTAACTGGCCATTTGTTTTTGAAGAGGCTCCCAGGTGCAGCCCAAACTGACACTCAACTTATTACTCTCAAAATCTAGGTTTATGGGGCTGGAGAGATGGCTCAGCAGTTAAGAACATTGGCTGCTCTTGCAGAAGACCCATGTTTACTTCCCAGCACACATATGGCAGCCAACAACCATTTACAACTCTATTTCCAAAGGAGGCCCTCTTCTAGCCTCTGAGGGCACTGAATGTATATAGTACACTTATATACATGCAGGGATGACACTCATACACATAAAATAAAAATAATAAATTTTTTATGTTTTTTGTTGTTTTTGTTTGTTTGTTGAGCAGGATCTCCCTAGTCCCAGCCTGCCTGGAAGTCACTATGTGGAACAGGTTGGCCTCCTGCCAACAGAGATCCACCTGCCTCTGCCTCCCGAGGGCTGGGATTAAAGGCAAGTGCCACCATGCCTGGCTAAATAAAAAATTTTTTAAAAAACGATCTAGGTTTATATTCTCCCAAACCATCTCACAACGCAAGAAAAGTTTTCTTATAAATACAAAAATCTCCTACTATTCAGAATAGCTTCTTTCAATCTCAAATACCCATCTGAATCACTTAAGAGATTTTTTTTTAATGTGTATAAGTGTTATGCCTGAATGTGTCTAAATGCACCTGTGTCAGGCAGTGGAGGACAGAAGAGGGTGTCAGATCCCCTGGAACTAGAGTTATGAACGGTTGCTAGCCACCATGTGGGTGCTAGGATTCAAACCCAGGTGTTCTGCAAGAGCAGCCAGTGCTCTTAACTGCTGAGCCAGCTCTCCAGCCCCTCATTTAGAGATAGTTTAAAAAAACCTGACATCAAATCAAACTCCAGAGAGATTAAAACAGAAACTGTGGATGAGAATATGCATCAGTAATTAAAATTTCCCACATGATTCCAATGTGCAGACAGGATGAGAAGCACTTTTGTATAGGCACTGGGAAACCACAGAAAGTTCCTGAGGAAAGCAAATTATTCCATCTAATCTTAGCACCTCACGCTCTTACACAAAACAATGTGGCTCCCTGAAAGAGTCACACTTCTATACCCTCAATCCAGAAAGTCCCTTCTGCTCATTCACAGTTCAGTCTCATCATTAAGTTTAATAAAATAGTCTTCTAAACCAGGCATGGAGGTACATGCCTGTAATCCTAGCACTCAGTAGGCTGAAGCAGAATTGCCTTGAATTTGAGGCCAGCTTGGGCTACACAGTGAAACCCTGCCTGAATACAAATTAAAAAGAGAATAGTCTCATTTATATAACCCCCCCTCCACACACACACACACACGAGTTCATCAGTTTACCTGTACTCATTACAATTCTACTGGGGAATTTTTGTTTTGTTTTGTTTTGTTTTGGTCTTTTTGAGACAGGGTCTCCCTGTAGCCTCAGCTGTCCTGGAACTCACTATATAGACCAGACTGGCCTTGAACTCACAGAGATCCGCCTGCCTCTGCCTCCCAAGTGCTGGGACCACAGGCGTGCACCACTAAGCCTGGCTTTCTACTGGGGAATTTTTAATGGTTCCATCTAGTGTCCTTATTGAACTCTTTGAAATTAAAAACCTTATCTTATTCATGTTTTAGTCACAGTGCTTGTCATTATACATGACACAAAGTAAGCACTCAAATTTATCTGCTGAATCCATTCTATTACAGAAAAACCTGCTTATATTATACTATATTACTATATTATTATACTATAGTAGTAGTCTATACTACTACTATGTTACTATATTAGTCTATACTACATTAGACAGATGCCTACATTAATAAACAGTATGAGACATCATATTTATATATTAAATAGGGCAACTGTTTAGTGTTGCTTTATTTAGGAATAGTTACAAATTAAGAATCAAGAAAGAAGGCAGAGACAAACGAAAATGTATTTTCAGAGTACAGGATCTCACCTAATAGAATAATAATACTGTTTTCCACCTGAATGACTATTAAAATATACCAATTTTGTATCTTTTCATATTCTGGTAAAATAACATCTGTTATGTTTTAAGAAAGTGAGTTAGATACTTGCCACCTCAAAATGAAAACAAATCATGAAAAGTTTTTAATTTCTTTGAATAAAATGTATTTAAGCTTCAAAAACACTGATAATTTATTTAACAACACCTAATATTCATTTCTAGTACTGAATTCTGTTATCCAGCAAAAGCTTAAATCTCTGTAAAAGAAATAAAGCTACTCCAGTGTTTTATATCTACAGATTCACTACATAAGTACCTTACCCAAAGAGTAATTTTGCTGACTAATAGCTGAAGAGTAACTAACCACGTAGTGCACTTCATACAGAAAAAGTCTACCAAGCTGGGCATGGTGGTGCACACCTTTAATCCCAGCACGTAGGAGGCAGAGGCAGGCTGGTATCTGTGAGACTGAGGCCAGCCTGGTTTACATAGCAAATTCCAGGCCAGTTGGGGTTACAGGGAGTCCCGGCTTCAAAAAACAAAGAACAAACCACAAAAACATGTTTACCAATAGTCATATGGGTCATAAAAATCATCGTAACATGCAAAATGATTACTATCAAGTGCTGAAAGTAATTTTTTTTATTGGTAAAACAATCCTTTCCTGAGGTTGAGGATTTAGCTCAGTGATTGAGCACTAGCCTAGCCTGAGTCAGGTCCTGAATTCAATCCCCAGGACAAAAGAAAATAAAAAATTCTTGATCATCAGCAGTGGTGGTACATACATGCCTGTAATCCCAGTACTTGGGAGGCAGAGGCAGAAGGATTATGAATTCTTGGAAGGTCTGGGCTATACAACCAGCTAGACCCAGTCTCAAACAAATCAAGGGGGGAAAAAAAGCAACTAACCAAACAAAAACAAGTTGGTTACTAACAAATCAAGGGGGGAAAAAAAGCAACTAACCAAACAAAAACAAGTTGGTTACTAAATTAATCCTGTATTTACCAAGTACCTATTACCTGCTTGGGAATATATGAAAACTAAAGTGTTTGAAGTGACTAGTAAGACTATAAATTAAAGGCATCGACCACAATATTTGACATTTGTGGCTGATATCTTTTTTACCTTATTTGGCGATTTCAAAGGTGAGATGGCTATTTTATTTGGTGTTTGTGTTGTAGAATTTAAAGTTGATCCAATAACACCACTTTCAGATATTGTGATGGTCTTTGATGGAGTTCCAGGAGTAGACTGTGAAAGAACCCTACCTGCAAATAAGAAGCAGCACATCAGTTTGAATTTTTTCAATAATACTACATTATGTGATGATGACCTATACATAAAAAGACTTTAGTGACACATGTCTTAACAAATGACCTTCAACACATAATGAGACCCCAAAGAACTGTAATGAACCCAGGCAGAAATAAAACAAAGCTTATTAGAAATATATAGTATCAGCTTAATTAAGAGTATTCTCAGCAATACAGAATTATATCCATCAGAAAGCAAGCACAGGAGAACTAAGCAACCTGTATGATACTTCTGAAAGATGAGAATTCATCTTGAAATGCCAAACTCTGTACTTTATTCTACTATAGCTGTCTTCTATTGAACTTAAATCATGTAGGCAAAATAAAATCTACAGTTCTGCTGGATATAGCTCAATTGGTAGAATGCTTGCCTACCATGCAGGAAGCTGTGGTAGACGTCTATTCCTAGCTGTACCAGGCAAGGTGATGTTACTACTGCAGAGGTAGAGGCAGGAGAATCAGAAGTTCAAGGTCATTCTCAGTTTTACATGATCTATGCCAGCCAATGATATACCAGACTTAGACTCAAAAACCAAAAATAGAAAGAAAACTCATAAACTAGCTATTGGAGCTGGGCATGTTGGCACATACCTTTAATCCTAGGACTCAGGAGGCAGAGGCAGGCAGATCTCTGTGAGATCAAGGCCAACCTGGTCTACATAGTTTCAGGCCAGTGGGGATTACAAGGAAACCCTATCTTAAAAAAAAAAAAAAAATACACACACACACATACACACACACAAACCCAGCTATCAGACCCAGGTGGTGCCATATGTTTTTAATCCTAGCACTAGGGAAGCAAAGGAAGGCAGGTAGATCTCTCTGAGATAGAGGCCAGCCTAATCTACAGAGTTCCAGGCCAGCAGGGGCTATAAGGAGACCCTGTCTCAAAAACAGTAATGATGATAAATGAATAAACAAACAAAAAAACAAACAGCTACTGGGGCTAGTGCAATGGCTTAGCAACTATGAGCACTTGATGCTTTTCCAGAGTACCCGAGTTCAGGTCCCAGCACCCACAGCAGGCAGCTCACAAACACTTGTAATTCCAGCTCCAAGATATCTGACGCCCTCTGAAGGCACCCCCCCCAAACACACACATGGCATATGCTCAGATACACACACACACACACACACACACACATAAAAGAAATAAAATCTAAACAAAAATTTAAAAACCTAGTTATTATATGGACAAACCTGATACTGTCTAATTTTAGACTGTCAAAAGGGAAAGAAAAATTTCTAGCAACCCTAGCCAGATTTCATACTCTGTTTCTGGGCAAAAACCCAGTGTATCTGGATGACTTAGGGAACTGGAAACCATACTACAATAGGTGAAGGAATTTTCATTCCAGGCAAGAAAAGAATAGAAAGACATGCTAAAGCCAGGCATGGAGGCACTTGACTTTAGCTGTCTGGTCTTCACAGTCAGTTCCAGGCCAGCTGAGGCTACAGGAAGACCCTATCTCAAAAACAAAAACAAATAAACCTACACATAGAAAAACAATTTGGAGATTATTTTGGCAGGAAAACCAAGATTATCCTGACTGACCTAGGCTGTCAGGTTAAAAAATCAGAACCAGTCTGCCATATCAAGTAGGAAAAAAATAGGAAAAAAGAACTTCTGACAAAAATTTCCTACTAAGGGAGGCAGTGGCAGGATCTCTGTGAGCTTGAGGTCAGCCTGGTCTATACACTAAGTTCTAGGCCAGTCAGAGCTGCACAGTGTGACCCTATTTCAACATCCACCCCTCAAATTTCCTATTAAGATTGTCTCAACACAAATTCTAGTTACTGAGGGTGGGGATAACCAAATCTACTGGCTAAAGAAGAAAGTTTTTGTTGTTGGTGTTTTTTTTTGGGGGGGGGGCGTCTTTTTGAGACAGGGTCTCCCTGTAGCTCCAGTGGTCTGGAACTTGCTATGTAGACTGGGCCTTCCTCTGCCTCCAAAGTGCTGGGATTAAAAGCATGAGCCACCACGATCGGCAAGAAGGAAATTGTTATAAACATGTGAGAAATAGTGGAAGTAGGTAAATTGTTTCTAAAATCCCCTCTAACCTTTAGATGCTATGCAACTTCAGCTAAAGATAGAAAGGACAGAGAGAGGAAGATAAAGGAAGAAAGGGAGGAAGAGAAAAAAGGGACTGTCTCCTCATATAAAAATAATTATCATTACCTAGCAGCTTCTCGGTCTCCTTTTCTGATAACAATGTTAAAGTATACATAATTTTTCAAAGATAATCAAATTTTACCTTAATTTATGAATTTCGAAAACATTTTAGGGCCAGTGAGATGGCTCAGTGGGTAAAGGAGCTTGCCACCAAGCCTGACAACCTGACTTTGATCCCCAAGACTCACATGGTAGAAAGAGAATAAACTCCCACAGCTGTCCTCTGACTTCAACACACAATGCATGTGCCATAACACCTGGCCCTTATTGCTAATTTTTAAAAAATATTTTATTTATTATAACATGGATGGACCTTGAAGACATTACAATGAGTGACACAAGCCAGTGATAATAAAATGTTCTATGATTTCACTTGAATAAGCACACAGAGTCAAAATTACATGAAGCAGAATGGTGGCTGCCAAGAATGAAGATGGGGGTAGAGAGTAATTATTTAATGAGCACAAGGTTTTGTAAAATGGAAGGAGGCTGACAATGTACTGCATAATAATATGAATAAACCTAATGCCACTGAGCTATACCATTAAGTAGGAAAATTTTATCATTTATCATGTGTGTGCATGCACATGAATACACGTGAGTATGTGGGCTATAGTACACATGTGAAAGTCAGAGGACAACTTTCAAGAATAGGTTCTCTCCTCCCACAATGTGAATCCTTGTGATCAAGCTCAAGTCATCAGGCTTGGCAGGAAGTGCTTTTACCCAATGAGCCTCCTCACTGGCTCCTTAAGTGGGAAATTTTTAAAAAATAAATAAATTCTTAAAGAACTAAATGGCAAAAACCAACAAAACAAAACAAAACAAAAACTACTGTCAAGAAAAACCTAAGTGCTGCAGGGACAACTGACAAAGAAGCCAAGTGTTATAACAGACTGTGACTAGTGAACAAATTAAAGGCCAGTAGGAAAAGAAGTTTAATTAAAGGTAAGCATAATCAAACCTTATGGGGAAACATGCAAAATAATTAGATGAAAGTAGCCTCATTAAACACAGAGAAACTTTCAACATGAGGATTCCAGAAGATAAAATGGATAAGTTAACCATAAAGAACAGTGCCAAGACCCTTAGTGCTGTGAGGACATGATTTCCCTTGTGATCTTTTAAGGTATGTTAAATAAGGATGTTTGGAACCGAGAGAAGGCAGAAATGGAAAGGTATACATTAAATCTTAAAAGCTAGGACAGGGGCTGGAGAGATGGCTCAGTAGTTAAAAGCACTGGTCTTGCAGAGGACCCGGGCTTGATTCCCCGCACCCACATGGCAGCTAACAACTGTCTTAACTATAGTTCCAGGGCACTCGATGCTTTCTTCTGACCTCTGCAGGCATTGCATGACATGGGTGCACTTACATACATGCAAGCAATACACTCATACACAAAAAATAAAAACAATAAAATATTTTAAAAGCTAAGACAACATTGGCATCTGAACTCATTTCTGATCAAAGGAATAAAGCAACAGATTTTTAAAAATATTTTTCAAAATTTTATTTATTTATTGAATTTTATGTGTATGAGTGTATTGCCTGCATACATGTAAGTGCACCTGTCATGTACAATGCCTACAGAGATCGGAAGAGGTTATTGGATCCCCTGAAACTGGAGTTATGGATGGCTGTTAACTACCATGTGGATGCTGGGAACTGAACCTGGGTCCTCTGCAAGAGCAGCCAGTGCTCTTAACTGCTGAGCCATCTCTCCAGTACCTTTTAAAATATTTTATTTATTTATTTTATGTGTATGAGCATTTTGCCTGCATGTATGTAAGTGTACCATGTTCATGCAGTGCTCAGGAAGGCCAGAAAAGGTCATTGGATCCCACAGTCCTGAAGTTAAGGAAGGTTGGTAGGCACCACGTGGGTGCTAGGAACCAAAACCAAACCCAGGTCCTCTGAAAGAGCAGTAAGTGTGCTTAACAGCTGAGCCATTTCTCTAGCCCCAAAGAGTATTTTAAATAAGGGTGTGACAAGATCAAATTTGTATTTTAGAAAAATTAGTTACAATGAGAAGATCCCACCCCACTTAAAAACAAGCTCAAAGGCCAGCTGTGGTAACAAATACCTTTAATCCCAGCACTCGGGAAGCAGAGGCAGATCTTTGAGTCTAAGGTCAGTCTGATCTACATAGTGAGCTCCAGGACAACCAGGGTTACATAGTGAGACCCTGTCTCAAAAAAAAAAAATAAATAAAATAAAAATAAAAAGTCAAAACATGAGGCTCTTGCAGACAACCTGGGTTCAGTTTCCAGGTCCCACATGGCAGCTAACTCTAGTTCTAGGATATCTAATGCCCCCTTCTGGCCTCTGTTAGCATTTCATGAATGTGGTGCACTTACATACATGGAGCCAAAACACTCATACAGATAAATAAAAATAAAGAAACAAAACAACCAATCTCAAATACTTTGAAAGAACATTAGCATCAATATAATAACCTACTTTCAATACAGGATGACTACTTTGGTGGCTTAAAAGTGTGATTTTTTCATGAATTTTAAAAGGCTGTACAGAACAAGTCGAAAGGGAAGTGGAGATAGGAAGACTATTGTGAGTTCAAAGGTCAGCCTGGGCTACAGAACAAAATCCTGTACCTCCTCTCCACCCCCCTCCTCCCCAAAAAGGTTGAAATTATCTCTGCAAACTAAATGCCAACAATTCTAGTGATGCTTACCAGACATCTATAAGCATTTTTTTCTGCAACTATAAGCCAGTGATTAATATTATTCCATCTTATAAATAACCCAAACACTGAATGATCAAATCCATGATGGTAATCCTTGCTAATAATGTTAAATCTTTTTGGTTTTGTTTTCTGCATTACTGTGAATTGATACCAGGTCCTCAGGCACAGTCAATCTTTCTAACAAGTGAAGTACACCCACAACCCCAATGTGAACTCTTTTGACAAACACAAAAATCCATTCAGACCATTCTGCAATCACAACTGTTTGGCAAAAAAAAAAAAATCCCCCTGCAAACACAGTAACCAAACTCAAACTCACAATAGTAAAGGATATTACTTCAAGACATTTCTTCTGGTTAACACTCTCACCCTACCTCACCCTCCCAGAGAAGGGTGGTCCTTTTATATCAATAATTCCAAGCCTTGTAGCTTACTTCTTGAATCAGCCCCAAATCTAAACTCTTATCTAATCTTTCCTCTAGAGCCTCCTATTTCCACTGACAGTCCTCAAGATATCAGCCTGAGGGCTTTGTTTGGTTCTTGGTCCCCTCAGTGTTTTAAATATATATAAATATATTCACATATATATGTATGTACATATACATGATATATATGCTAAAGGTGACTAGTTCAGACACACAAAGTAGGTTATTTTAGTATCTACTATACAGGATCTCCAGGAAACTACATAAATTACTAGATGTAAAAAAGCTAAGAAAGTTACATACTAAATAATAAATGTCAGCTAGTATAATTGTAGGCCCCAAACCTCTGCTACTTACATGGTAAATTTTTACCCAAATCTATGAAGACTAAGGTAAATAATCCACTGATTTTTCAATAAGGCATTTTGCTTGAAGCACTCATTTAATAAGTGTAACATTTCTTATTAACCACTTTATTTTATAATAATAAATAAGCTACAATTTTTGCACTAAAACATTTTAAGGTGGCACAATAGCCTTTTCTAAATCTAAAAGCAAGGTAAACATATAGCTTAATAAACTATAAGGAAATACAACCTGTGATGACTGGTGGTGACACTTGAGTTGTCTGTCCTGTAACTGCTTTACTATTGATTGGTTTTGCAAAGATCAGCTTCGTGATTACTGGGCCAGAGGTTGGTGTTCGAGGCTTCTTAGCAATCTGAAACATATAAATAACGATGAACCCAGTTGCTTCTATAAAACATCTATTCAACCAAAATTAGACAAAATTCATACTCAGTAGTACATGTGAAATCAGCTCATTTAACAAATTCATCTACATTTTAATGTATAAAACATTTAAAATACAGCCATTCATCAAAATAAATATGATCTTATTCATAACACCTCTGTATCTCATTATAAATCTGTATGAAACATGCAAACCAAACACATAAAAGTTTGATGATAATGTTTAATGTTGAATAATAAAACACTATGAACAACAATATTAGTTTTCCAAATAGGTTATTCAACCATAAAAAGATGCATGAACGAAGTATGGAAGGAGTGAAGAAGCATCGCTGTACATGTACATATACTCACACTTGCTCTGATTCAGAATGCAGGCATGCATTACAACAGATTTACCACTGCATTTTCTTTCTTCTTTCTCTCTCTTATGTTTTGTTTTTGAGATAGAGTTTTACATTCTGCAGCCTAGGATGGCCTGTAACTCACTATGTAGTCTAGGTTGGCCTTGAACTCACAATAATCCTCCAGCCTCAGCTTCCCAAGTGCTGGGATTACAGGTATGAGCCATACCTAGCAGATTTTCAACTTTAGGAGTAAAGGAAGAATCAAGCCATTTAAAGTCCTCAGGTACAAAGAGGCAAGTTTAGTAGAACAAAGATCTATAAAAGAAAAGGTTCTGAAATTTATTTACTAAAATAATGTTCACTGTAAACTCCCTGAAGAGACTGTCTCTATTTTATTTATCCCCAATCTGAATTTAAATATTGTCATACTGGTGACTTGAACTAAAATTCACAAGTTAAGGAAGACAGAGGTACCAATATAAAAGAGATGTTGTTTTTTGTTGTTTTTGAGATGAGGTCTCATTATACAGCCCTGGCTATTTCCTAGAGCTAGCTATGCAGACCAGACTAGCCTCGGTCTCATAGAGGTCCACCTGTCTCTGCCTCTCAAGTGCTGAGATTACAGGTATGAGTCACTAGGCCCCGGTTTAATCTTAGTGTTTTTATACTGAAATTATTGCCATATAAAAAAAACAGCTTCTAAAAGGAGTTTTTTTGAGGCAGGGTCTCACTATGTAGCCCTGGCTGGCCTGGAACTTGTTATGGAGATCAGGCTGGCCTTGAACTTACAGAGATCTGTGAGTTCTCCCAAGTACTGGGACTAAAGGCATGAGCTACCACTCCTGGCAAGGAGCAGAAATTTACCTGTGATAAAAAAAATCATCAAATTTTAATGTGAAGGACATTAAATTTTAATTTCATTTTGGTAGATATTAACACTGAGTCTTTGAAATATTTATTATTGGAAATGAATCAAATAAACATGACCAACAGGAATAACAGAAATATACCATAAGATATAGATCTCAGCTAAAGATCCATTCTATATACTCAAATTATAAATGGAATAATATGCTATCATCCATTCAAAATAAATTACTTTCTTATACTCAGAACATATTACTGTCACAATAAAATAGCTATGAAATAAATCAT